CACAGAAGCATGGAATATCGACAACAATGACATAGTGAGCCTTTGCAAAACCAATTAATTAAAGAAGCAAAAGGATTGGTAGGCTAAGGACCCATAACTCCAAAAACTTAAATACTTTTGCTAGCTAGTTGCAATTACAAGTCCTCTGTTCAGATAGGGTATACCCAAATATTCCCCTTTTTAATATCCTTTCCCATTTTGTGTACCATTTAAATTACTGAAACTACCAGTTACTACTGAAGGAATGATAATATCTTAGAGATTCTGAGGAGACTTTGAGTATCAAAACAGGCTATGCATACAGATAAGAAAAACACAAAATAATTATTACCTTAAGGGCATGCACAAATATCCCAAGAGTTTCATAGCCCAATTTTCTCATCCCAAGATCTGCTGAAGACGTGCTCGCTAACGCAACTGCAAGCAAGCCTGAACTGGCGAATTTTACAGGTTCAATACATCCCATGGACAATGAGTGTATTGAGAATGGCAGGATGTAAGCCGGATCATACCGTTCAATAACAGGTGAGCATTTCTACACAGGGAGGAGGGATGATTACTTTGAACGTTGTTTGAAAATGCAAATACAAGAACTTTTAACTGGAAATTAAAATTAAACACGCGGGTACCTCGCTTACTGGATCATCAGATATGTAAGAGTTATCCGATACCTCTGCAGTTCGTTGATAGGGAAAATACAAAAGAGTTTGAGCACATATTTTGGGATCAATCCAAAGATTCTCTTTGAAAAGAATCTGCTGGAGATTTTCCACCAAACCAGCTTCACCACCATAATATGCATCCTGAGAAAAACGCAGTCCCTCTCTTATTTTCAAGGCAGCTTTACCCCACAAATAATCTGTTTCAGAAACATTCAGCCTCTGTTCGTCCTCAATCAACTCGATATCATGCATCAACTTGTAGAGCTCTAACTCAATTTCGCTCATAGTTGCACCATAAGAAACACAAAAACACGAAAGGCGCAGTTCTTTCAGAATTGATCCCCGAAA